CCTTATCTTTATCAAAATCTGATTTATGCACATTTAAAAAGCAAAAGCAAATTCTGCTTAACAAACTTTTGAGTCGTATCGCCGAAAAATAACTGCCACAAGCAGAAAACCAACACAATGAAATCGTTATTGCTGTACTATAACAAAACATAAATCCACATGTCACGAATGCCGTTGTACGTCGTTGCTACCAGCCAAATTCAAAAGTTATGAAGCTTGTTTACAATTGCCCATGTTCACGATTACCCCAACTGACCCTACTACGATCTCAAATGAAAGGTCTTTCTTAATATCTCTAATAAATTTCAAGCTTTTATTATTTTAGATCTTATCTTTGACATATTATTTAACTTTATTAATCGAAAATGATATACTTGTAAATGTAATTGCGACTCCTGCTAGATTTAATAAAAAATATTGTATCACGTTTCACCACCAAGAATGGTCTTGACTATGTCCTCTTCAAATTTGGTTAGTGCATCTCTCTCGGATTTGAAAATTCAATACCTAGGTACGTTTTTAGTCACAATAATTGAATAATTCCAAATATTTCGAATTTTCACCACCAAGGACGGCGCTGACAACATTTTTAACAGTATGGCGATGTTTCGCATTGTATATCCTGTCCAAATTTGGTTAGTGCATCTCTCTCGGCTTCGAAAATGCAATACCTATGTACAGGCCCGATCTGGTTCTTTCAGGGGTTGTCGGGAAAAATCGAAATCTGGGCCTATTTGGTTTTGTCTGTTATTAGGATGCATATCGACTCTCCCAAGGAAAACTGTCGTATCTTAAATTTGGTTATACAAGAGCTAAATCGTTCTTCTTTAACAAAGCAACTGTTGTTTAGATCTTAATTAATTATTGATGATCTAAATAAAATAGTTTAGGATAAGAAAAAAATGGATTTTGAATGAGTTACTACAGTTTTCGTCGACAAAATTTTTTATTGAGAAACAACTTGCTACACTAATAAGGTACAGAAAAATTAATATTTTTTAAATTTTCTATTATTAGATAAAAAAATATTTGTTAATAATCAATAATGACATAAAAGGAAAATTTATTACGATTCAGAGTCAGAGTCATCTTCTTGGTCAATATTCCTTTCTTCCTGGTGGTCAGTCTTACTAGCAGGCCGAAGGGTGTTGTAAAATCCTTGATACATCGATGGTATCAAATTAGCCTTACACAGACCCCAAATACCGCTTAATTTTTTACGATTAATTGGCAGCAAACCTTGATACAATTTTGGAAATTGATATTCTTCGCGTTTGCGTGTGTTTTTTGTTTGTAAGTCCAGTTCTTTATGATTTTCTCCAAAATTATACACAAAAAATACTTTATTGGGAGACTTTGGACCTCAGTGGATTTCTCTGATTTTGCTGATTTTTACAGCCTCTCCAGTAATATCTTTTTTCCAGTTTTGTTTCTTTACCATTGGTTTAAAAGTTACAAAATCTTCTTGAGACATTTCTTTTACTTTGTACTGTGGGGCAGTAACTTTGGCCAGTTTTATTAGACTAATCCACTGATCAATAGTGTATATAACAGAGTGACGTTTTTTTGCAACTTTAATCACAGCATGCATGCTGTCATTTTCATTCTGTGTGTGGCCAATTTCAAGAAAACGGTGTGTTATTTCCAAATCCAAAGTCATTGATGCATAAGCAAACATCGCAAAAACAAAACGATTACGATTTTGACCACCGCAATTGTTGGAATAAAGAATAACCTTTCGTATGCCATTTTCTTTAATACTTTTTAAAAAAATCCATAAACAACTTCCAATTTCATCCGGTCCTCTCTTCGATATTTGCTCATGCCATCATAGCAATAGCCTTGATTACGGTCTAAATCACAAATTGTAAATTTGTATGTTGCGATTTTACTTTTATAATAAAAATCGCTGTCTTCTGACTTGGCCGTTACTAACACCTTCTGCAAATCAAAGCATGCTGTTATTAGAGATTTATCATTTTTCGACAATTCTTTATCAATGTCTTTCAGATTTCGAACCGCGATTTTCTTTAGATTATTATTATTATAATCATCATTTTTTCTGTTCTCTTCTCAGGATCTGTATTCTTGTAGGCAGTACACACGGAATCTTTTTTTGGCTTAAAGAAAGCTATATTAAATTTCGAATTCTCTCGTTTTTCCTCCAGGCCCGCGGCTTATAGATAAAGGAGTTATTAGTTTAAAGGGCTTACGGTTTGGAATATATATTTATTTCTCTCTTTCCTGTAGGTACACTGTTTATAGGGGTATAGGGCAAAATAATAAAATTTATGTTATTTTTTTGACCTGGGAAAATCCCATTTCTACAAAAGATTCAATTTTCATTTTTACATTCTTCTTTTTTCTTTTCAATTTACGGTGGCTATATCTCAAGGATTTACAAAAAATTTTCTTATACTTTTGGCGCCTCGTTAGTCGTTTGGGGGCCTATCTTCCAAAATAAGTTGGGTTTTGCCGACTTCCCGACCTGGCCAGACCGGGCCTGCCTATGTATGTTTTCAGCCACGATAATTGGATAATTCCAAATATTTCCAATTTTCACCACCAAGGATGGCGGTGACAACATTTTTAAGAGTAAGGAGATGTTTCGCATTGTTTTAGCTATGTTCTGTCCAAATTTGGTTAGTGCATCTCTTTCGTTTTAGAAATTTCAAACCTATTACGTTTTCAGCCTCGAAAATTGAATAATTCTAAATATTTCGATTTTCACCTCCAAGAATGGAAAAAATCCTTTAGTGGAACAAGGATAATATCCTGTATTTTATTATGCAGCGACGATGGTATAATGACGACTTGCAAGGTGTATCCACCGCGAATAAACAAATTAATCCACCGCAACCCCAATAAACGAATCACCCCGCGTACGACCGGCCGTGAAATTTGAATACGGGGAAAGACAAAACTATTACGGTAATTGCCCGGCTATTATCACGTCGTGTGTACGGTCGCGGATCGGTGATTTCAGGTGTACCGCGACGGTTGCAGTGGGAGAATGATTGAGTATCTATATAGAAAAAATATTCGAATGGATATCATTAGATTAAAAATCTTTGAGAAAAAAATTAAAAAAAACATGCATCGGCCGGGAATCGAACCCGGGCCGCCCGCGTGGCAGGCGAGCATTCTACCACTGAACCACCGATGCTGATGACAAAAGAAGTCTTTGACACGATAGACATAGCCCAAGTTACCTAATTTTTGTATTTAAGACGTTTGCGAACGATCTAAAGTTGAATTAGGGTTGTTAATTTACGTTTAGTTTCTATAAGGAGATTTTAACACATCTTTAGAAACAACCAAAACTATATATTTTTAGTAAAAAACATGAATTTCGTTAGCAATATACCAATGAGTATTCTGTAAATTCGATTAGGTGTTTTGGTATTATAGTTGTTACGATCTCAATTGGAATGCATAAAAACATTTAACTCATAAATTCTACGGAATCCATAGACGTCCAGAAAAATTTTGCCCTGTCTCGTCTAGATATACTATATTCCGAGCTATATTACCATATAATTACCATACGATTGTCAAGTTTTTTATGTTTAAAGTCATAAAATCGCATTGTAATAAAGCATGTCGTAAAATATCTAAAGATTTATAATTATAATCTGGATAATCGCTTGATTTATCTCGAATCATGTTTAAAGTAGGAACTTTATTTTCTTTATACATATTATAAATTGTGCGTCGCATTACATCTGGTAAAATCGGCAATTTTCTTTAATTTTCTATTTTTCCGTTTCCTCTTTGTACCGTGATTAATCCTTTTTTAATTACGCGATAAATTGTCGTTTTTGATATCTTAGTTAATTCGTTAATCCGTTTCCTAACTTTTTTATCACATTGTTCACTATTTTCAATTTTCAAACATTCATATATATTTAATATAATACGTTGACTTTGTACATGTAAATCTTTGTTTTTAAACTCTGAATTTGTTTAGATGCTTTCGACAAAAACCGGTTCCAGTATTTTGGGATTTTCTCGTGTTATTTCGTTGTCCTCCGCTTCAAAGAGTCTCCAGAGAGCCTCACTAAATTACTAGTTAATTACATATAACATTTATTTTAATAACTACTATTACCTATTACTGGTTACGATATGAACAAATAATATCAACTAATAAATAATATCAACTAATAATAATACACGGTAAGTGAACCCGTGTACCATACAAAGAAATTATTTACGATCTAGTGGACCAGTACAGGTTTGCTTTGATGACCAGCGCGAGTGTAAATTACGAGACACATCATGGTCAAAGCATAGGAAGGAATTTCAGGAGAAGTGCATACGGTCCTGTGCTTTAAGATTTACAGGTTCCAATTGACATCGTAACAACTATACCAATTAAATTTCTAAGAAAAAAGATCTCTTGCAATTTTGTTTTCTGAAGTAAATCGAAAATAACTCTAAAACTGTTCGTTAGGAACAGTTTATGAGAATGAGAACATAAGACATATTGAAAATTATATTTACAATAAGATCCACTTCTTATTTGTGGAAAGGCGAAATGGGCGGTGACATTAGACGTCTTCATTATAGCCATCTTTCTCTATCGCACGGATTTCTATGACTTACTTTATCATTCTCACGTAACGGCCGATGAACCATGGGGACTTTCCGGCCCTGTATATCCGGAGAAGATGCGGCGCCGTTGCGGCATTAGAGTTACACGCACAGTGCCTCGCCAGATGTGTATAGTAGGAATAAAATTGAAATTAAAAACCTCGACATCAAAAGAACCGACGTTAAAGTCGACCCGGTGTATATTCGGATATTACTGCAAATGACTTCTGTTTTAATCGCATCATACTTGGAGCAGTGTTGAGATGTTATTTAATACGTAGATTACGTAGATAGTTTTACTAAGATTTTCTTCCTAGGTCTGACCATGAAAATTAAAAGAATATTATGCCTGACCTATTAGAGCAAAAAAACACATTATCCTAATTTTTTATTTGCTTTCACAGCGACCATTTCCCGTTTTACAAACAAAACGACGACAGGTGGAAGAACTCAGTCAGGCACAACTTGTCCATCAACCCCCATTTCCGAAAAGGGGGCAAAGCCGTTCAGGGGGCCGGTCACCTTTGGACTATCGCCCAGAGGGATGACAAGAAATCTTGGCAGATCGTAAGTGTTTAGAAAAGTCTGAGATTTATATTTCTTTGTAACTCACGTAAACTTTTAGAAACAACGAATGAATCAGTTCATCCAAGGCGCTCATAAGGATGCGAAGTCACGCGAGCAAGAGGCATTCGATAAGGAGCTTCAGGCGGCCACCGAGAGCATTTTGGGCGAAATTGACGGCCACCATAAGGTTAGTAAAGTATTTAGTTGGTGCTATTGTGCTCAGATTTTCTCGTTTTTTTTTTCAGAATGAGGTAGAAGCGCTGCCTAGAAGGAACAACAATATCGAAGTCGAGTACATAAATCTAGGGGAGGCTCCTAATGGCTTAGAAGGTAAGGTCACTATGTCACTATAAGTAAAAAATCATTTGTTTGATGAGAATGTTTAACGTTGATTGAAAGTATTTATTAAAAGATCTGACGCAAAGTCAAAATAAGGTTTCAGATACACAAATAATACATAGTGTCTTAATATTTCGTATGCATGAAACTACCACGTTCTTTGGATGAAAATAAGGCGATTTAGCTAAACGTACCTCTGTCCGAAGTTTAGATACTAGATGGCGCCCAAGTTTGCGAAAAATAGTTAATTTTTCTCCAAATAATCCTGCTAAAACAGATTTTAATATTCCTGCACCAAACAAATAAATATTTACAGAAGACCTTATAGCTTCAGTTCTTATTTTATCATAAATGGAGGACTCTTCAAATTTTTTTCTCTTGTATTTTCACATCACGTATGCAGAATATTAGGACACCCTGTATAGTTCAGTCAACGATGACGATTAGCTCCATTTTATTAACAGTTTTCTTTTGTTTTGCAAACCCAATAGAAACATTAGGTACGTTGAGGTCATAATATCCGTAGGTGTTAGATAAAGATCTATCAAGCTATTTTCTTTGGAATAAAAAAAAGAGTTTTGCACAAACTTTTTTAATATTATCACCTTACTGTTCCAAATAAGATACCTAACAGATCTGCTGCTTCAATTTCTTGTCAAAAAATCAATAAACAGTATAACAGGCTATCATAGAGCGCGCTAAGTGGTTTTTAAATCGTTAAAGAATCGAGCAAGGCATTTTATAACTACTCTACGTGACGTCACGCGCTTAGCGGTTTGGCCTTATTTTAAAAACAGCTTTGTGCACCTTAGGAATTGCCTTCTGCTTTAATTTGTCAATATTAAAGAAAACACATTTAATAAGAAGAAAACAGGATCAAAAAATATATTTTTGTTTGTGAGAAATCTATGGTTATTCATAACTTTAACATTTTCGTAGATTTCCTTTCTCCGCCGGTCTCCAAACAGGAAATCGTGAACGAGTGCGGCCTGGGCAGCGACTTTTTCATCACGGACATAAATCCGAACGCCCTAGGCTTAAATCTGGCCGAGGCAGAGGCCATCACCGAGGACGGCATCTACGAAGACATGACCTTTGAGTATTATGAACTAAAAGAGTAATAAACTTTTATAAAATGTACTTTGACGCAGAAAGGCTCGGTTTTTCAGTATCTAATAAATTGGTTCTTTTAATTTTTAAGAGGTGCGTACAGAAAGTTTAAACACTTGTATATTTCCTAGCTTACTAAGTTTTTTAGATACTTTTAATTGATGAGAATTAAATTTTTAAAATAGCACCAAGTTATTTATCCGAAAAGTGTGTTTTCAGGAAAGTATTACTATTTTAATTTGGCGCAGGTTAGTTTCGGGGCTTTTTAAAGGTAGACCTAAATTTTTAACGTAACTTTTAAGTGTACTTATCAGGTCCAGGGTGCTCGGTAAGTACCGGACGACACCGTATCTACTCCGTCCATACTTGTAGTTCTAAGGGTATTGATAACTTAATATTTTTATACAGTCATGACACTGGTGATTGCTAGTAACGTGTGTAATCAATTTCTAGTCCATTGTATCGTAAATTAATTATAGAATAAATCGTTTTTCCTTGACTTGTTTTTTTCCTCAATTTCCCTCTTACAGCTGGATTTCGATTTTTAGGGAAAAAAATCCTAAAATTCTCTTCTGATAATTCTCTTTGCCAACATTATCGAGATATATCGGATGTACCAAAATTCTTGCAAAATATTTGAACTTTGCACAATTTGTGCGGTAGTGTTGCCAACGAAAAAAAAAAGACGGCGTGGCAACTGACACTTCAGGGTTATTAAAAATGGAGCGCTGCACGAAAGAACAACGCGTTTTCATTATTTAGCAATATTTTGAAAATAATGAAGGTTTGGTAGCTACAGGTCGCTATCTTCGAACAAAATTTCTTTGGAATAGTGATTTAACATCAATCGTGAAGAGGTTAATTGAAAAATTCAGGGAGACTGGATCAATTAGTGATCTTAAACATTCTGGCCGTCCTGCAACAAGTTCAACACAAAACATCGAAGCAGTTGGTGAGAGTGTTGCTGAGAGTCCAGGAACATCAATTCGACGCGGTGGTCAAGAAGTGGACATTTCGTGAAGCTCTACACCGTATTTTCATGAAAGATTTGCATTTTCAAGCTTACAAAGTTCAATTAACTCAAGAATTGGAGCCTACTGACCACGCTGAGTGAAGAGAGTTCGTTGAATGGATTATGGAACAAATGAATGCCGATTTTTCGAACGAAATCATCTTAAGCGATGGGGTTCATTTTCATCTTGATGGCTTCGCTAATCGACAAAATTGTTGGATTTGGGGTTAAAAAAACCACGAGATTGTTGAGAAACAAATGCATCCACATGTCTCTGTTCCGTGCGGATTTTGGGCATCATCAGATCATTCTTCTTCAAAAATGCGGCTAATCGGACAATAACAGTTATGGTTCTTGGAATCGCGACATGAAATTCCAGTTTTTTGTGCCTAAATTGTAAGATATGGATGTAGACGACATGTGGTTTCAATAGGACGGTGCTACATGTCATACGGCCCGAGAAATAATTCAATTACTGCACGATCTGGTGATCAAAATTAGCCACCCAGATCATGCCATTTAACGATGTTAGACTTTTTATTTGGATTTTTTTGAAGTCTAGGTTTATGCTAACAAGCCCAGGGCCACCCACGCCTTTCAGCAGAGGAAATTGAGCGCTGTTCAACGAAATTCAGCCACATTTATGCAAATGAAAAAAAGTGATTCTTGATAAAAAGTTCTGCATGGCCTAACACCCAAAATGAAATAATAAGATTTCAATTTTTTGTAGTCGTATACGAGGTTTGTCGAAAAATGCAAATTTTGCTCTAGAGTAAAATACCTTTGTTTTACAATATCGACAATCGTTATTAAGAAAAGTTGTTCCTCCATATCCAATATCCAATATTATCCATCTACCATTAAAAATAATCTTTAATCATTTTAGGGTATAAACATTAGGGTGGCCTAAAAAAAACATTTTATTTCGTGTCCCTTGTGAAAATATGTTAGTTTATCATGTTTTAAGAGCCTCCTCAAAAAATCAGCTCAAAAAAAAAAAATTGTTACCTAGAGGTCACTCAAGATTTTTAGATTTCCAAAATCGTCAAAAATTGATTTTTTTTTTAAATTTTTTTCTCGTTATTTTATCATTTTCTAGGTTGAAAAATAATCTCGATTCTGAAAATTTCAAATCGACATTTTAATTTCTAAAGGTCACTCATAATTATTTTAACTTTAGAGGTAGCTCGAAAACATAGGTCCTTTGAAAGTTAAAATAATTATGAGTGACCTTTAGAAATTAAAATATCGATTTGAAATTTTCAGAATCGAGATTTTTTTCAATCTAGAAAATAATAAAAACGAAAATAATTAAAAAAATAATAAATAAATTTTTGATGATTTTGGAAATTTAAAAAAATTTTGAGCGACCTCTAAGAAACATTTTTTGAGCTGATTTTTTGATGGAGCTCTTAAAACATGATAAACTAACATATTTTCACAAGAGACAAGAACAAAAAATATTCGTTATTTTTTGGGCCACCCTAATATACATAGTAGAAAATATACAAATAAGTTATAATTTGATTTTGCAAAGCATAAAACAATTATTGTATTGAATTCATTGGTTTGTCGGTGCATCCTAGATTTCATGTCGATCTCTAGACATAAATTATCGATGCTAATACAGAGAAAAGCTTGTAAAAATAACAAAATCTGTTTTTTAATGGCAGATGGATAATATTGGATATCTGCATTTTTAGACAAGTCTCGTATACAACTGCAAAAAATTGAAATCTGATTTTTTTATTTTGGGTTTTAGGCCATGCAGAACTTTTTATCAGGAATAACTTTTTTTCATAAAATCTCTAATAAGAAAGTATCGCATGTGGTGCCGACTTAATAGGACACACTGTATAACCCTATACTGTACCTATACGTTATGAATCAAGAAAAAATTTACAATTTTTAAATAAAAACCCGTGTTTTCTATCAAAAACACCTCTTCCATGCATTTTGGAACACCCTTGGATGAAGCAACTTTTACACACAATGAATAAATAATTTTCGAATTCAACAAAAATTTTCTTTAAATGTTTGGGCTGGTACTATCAATGGTATGCTAATAACCCTTTTATACTACCAGATCCAATAATGGCCTCCAAGATTGCCAGATTGTAATTCGTGTATTTTTTACCCGTGCGCTGCGATAATTTCTAACGGTATGCAGTAAGTAGTAGATATGCCAAGTGATAGCTTGCATGAATGAGACTAGTTTTTTATTTTCTTTATTTTTGAGTTTTCATAAAAATTTTATTTCAAAATTTTTTAAACTTTACACCTTGGTGAAAGCACAATCTCAATTTAAATGACACCTTACGAAATAATATGCACCAATTATGCTTCAGCCTGTAGGGTAGGCAACCCTTTATTCAGATCCCCTGCAATTCAGTGGCATTCTACGATTTTTTTTTTTCATAGTACTGCTGTGTGTTTTCTGGCAATGTTTTCAATTGTTTTATAATAAGATTGAATTTTCTTCTAAATTTTGATTCTGTGATAGTAACTGGATAATTGTTCTTTTGATTAACACAAAAATGCTGTAAATGCACTATTTAGTATTTAAGTTCAATTATTACTTTATTTTTACTCTCTTTAGTTTAGTAATTTGGGTTGCTTGTAGAATGGGAAGAAATGTACGCATATTTAATTTTTGTAAAATATCCGGCTCGAAGGACCAAAAAATGTTTGGGATTTATCAATTAAATTGAGTAATATTCCCAAAAATGAAAGTTAAAAAGACGTTCCTTTTGTTCATTGTTCTGACAAATTTGGGGATGAAGCCTCTATAAGAATCGCCTCCTGATGAGTTCTAGCCATTCGATTTTCAACATTCCTTTTCTGCTTTAGTTTAATTTTGTTTGGGATTATTAATCAATTGAATTGATATATCCGAAACATTTTTTGGCCCTTCGAGCCGGATATTTAACAAAAATTAAATATGCATATACTTCTTCCCATTCCACAGGCAACAGATATTATTAAATTAAAGAGTAAACAAAATAAATGTAATAATTTAACTTAAATACTAAAAACAGGCACATTTTACAGAAAAAAAAATCCCACGTTATTTCCGAGTTAAAAGTAAACGAACTTAGCGAACTTGTTTTAGAGGATCGGGGGATGGGAGAAGAAAACAAATCCTTTATATCAATTTTTATAATTTTCCATACAAATTATAAACATGATTTAAAATACTGTACACATACAGAGCAAAAGTATAAGATTCAATAATTTTTACCTTTGATATGGCATTTCCAGATATGGATAAAAAATCTCATTAAATATAGCACACTTCATAAAGAACCTTATAATTGCATGTTAAGACAATAAAAATATTTATAGCCGCCATATTTTTATAGAAATATATATACAATCTTACTTTTTACACTGACACTCTTGTTTTTTAAAATAGATCATTTCTCATAAATAGTTATTGTTCGTACCGCGTTTAATTTCACTTAAGTCTATCCTTATCTCTTTTTTTAATTTTTTCCTTAACAAAATTTTTATACTGCAGCATCTATAAAATAACGTTTCATCTTCACAGAAGACAGTACGTGTCAGTGTCACAAAAAAAAAATTGTCTAGGTTCAGGATAGTCACGAACAGTTTGATATTCCTTCAACGTAAAACTCTTACAGTAAAATTAAAAAGCTACCAAACAATTGCGTCGTACACCTACCAAACAATTTCCGAAGACTAAATTAGAGATCAAAAACATTGCCACTTGTAAATAATGTCGTAAAGTTCGCTTTTACATTTCCTTTCTCTGTTTCAATTGCACTGTGTACCGATTAAAGTAAATGTGATCAAAACTCAGAGTGCCCCATTTTAGGAACGGCCCCGACAATTCAGCTGTTTAGTCCGTCCGAAAAACTGAACACCCTGTATAACTCAAACTCCAATTAAAGAATTTAACTATCTAATCCACCTGACAGGTCAGGCCGCCGGATTGAACACAAAGGATAAGTTTCTTCACAAAATCCAATTTAAAGCAAGTAATCTCTCTGCGAGAACTGAAAAACCTCTAAGAAGCGTCCGAAAAATCCATCTTAGTCACAGACGACGCCTAGAGGGTCCCGATTTTGTGAAAACACCACTAAAGCTAATCAGTAATTAATATTGGCGAAACAACTCTAATATAAGTAAAATACTGGGTATTTTATTCTCAAAAAATCTGATAAAAATCTAAATAGATATATATCTCTATATATAAAATTGTTAAAAATTATCATCACAAATAGCAAACTTTAACTTAAGGCTAACTTAAAGTACACATAAGATTATCCGGCGAAATGCAGGTGGTTCACGATTGAGGCGAGTGCTTTCTGCTGTATAAACGAATTTTCAATAAATAATTTTCCGCCAGAACCGTGAACCACCTCATGTCGCGTGAAGTTCTGGGTCAGCCGAACATTCCCCTTGCATTTTAAATAAGAGCTTCTTAAAAAATAGACCTTTCAAATATAAAACAAATAAAAACATATAAAAGTATAAATAGTTAAGAACTTTCCTAATAAAAAAAAACAACATTAAAATGCAGGAAGATGTTCGAGAATTGAGGCACTTTAGAAGTACCAAGGATATTCACTTAAAACGACAAGTTATTTGAAAACATACAAAAAAAACCAAACAGAGAAACCTGACGATATGAAAAAAAAAACCTAAGGAGCTAAAAGTACGATGTGAAATAAAAACTATTATATATAAAAACAAAATATAAACTTCTATGTAAATTGTGATATGAACAAAGCGGACCACTTCCAAACTTAAGTTTACGCAGGGGGGTGACAACCTCTCGGATTCGAAGGTAGCTTCGGATGTAAGTATATCAAATGGCAATTTGGATTGTTATTCTCACCTAGCTACTCGCTAAACGTATGTAACCAATAATAATACTAGTATTGTGAGGGTGTAGGCACTGAAGTGAAGGGTTATGGTTGGACCAAAATCCCGCTAGTCTTTCACGAGCCTGTAGATGTGGTGTTGGGCGCCGTGTTCTGACGTGGACACCTCGAACACGTACGCCGTGCACAGAAGCGTCTCCTGCGTGTCTCTGTTGCTCACCACCTAAGGACACACATCACTGATGAAAAGAAAAATATCGGATCACAACACTTTGTTAGCAAAAATCGTAATTTGCAATAAAACGAAAAAATGTTAAAAAATATTGAGTTTAATCATAAATTTTGCCAATAGTTCAAGCAAACCTTTAGAACAAATATTTTTAAGTAATTATGCAGTACGTTCTAGCTTTACCACTAAACTAACGTCACGCTTGAAGCTTTGAGGCTTTATAATGTAGGTGGTAATAGTAAAATAGCTTTTGTACGTCGAGACTGAAGTGCCTTTTAACCCGATCCAATTAAAAGATGCACTTTAGTTTCTTGGCATGAACATTTTATTTTATTAATAAAAAACTTACTTGTAGGATGGTGAAGTTCTCCAAGACGCTATTCATCATGTACTTCTCAGGCAGGTGTTTCAATTTGTGTATAAAATTAATCATATATTCACACATCGGACTTTTATGGATCCTATATACAAATCGTCCATTCTCGTACCGGGCGTACTCCGTCTCTACCTTCTCCACCACTTGCTTTCCGAAGGAACACACCTTCGTCGAGCAAGTTATCGTCATGTTCTCATTACTCTCATACCTAAAAAAAAGTTCTACTTGAAATTTGCGGCATTGAAATGATAAAATCGTTAGGAAAAAGCCGGCTTTCTCAGAAGCACGTGCACTTACGAGCTTGTGACGCCGTAGAAGGCTCCCGCTTCGTCTTGGATGTTAGAGTTAAGATCCGCCCAGAATTTAACAAGGAAAAAGGCATTTTGCGGACCTTTGTCGTATAGTTCTTTCAGACCGCCTTTCTTTTCAGGGAATTTGTCATAGATTTGCCTCACGTCGACCGCTTCTAAAAGGGGATCTGTGTATGATAGAGCTGGACCTCCTATGTGTACGAATAAGTGTTTCTGATACTGAAAAAAAAGTTATTAGTCTCCGCAAGTCCTTAAATAGGCGTTCACTCACTGCTTCTTCTCGGTTCTGCGATTCCATGAAGGCAGAGAACTCGACAAGTCTAAGTTTGTGTGTTGCTATTGCCCTGCCCTCCCAGACGGGTGGCGGCGCTGTCTGTAAGGGGCCCACCTCTCCTGCTGACACGGCTGTTGCGGGCTTACCAGCTGGGTAGGCGGATTGGGTGAACGGTTTCACACTGCAAAAAATCCTTATTTGAAGTATTTTACAAAGGAATCCTTCTTATAAGACTTACTCTTGCGATGTTCCAGGTTGCAGCCCCGGCTGCCAGAATTGCTGGAAAATTTAAATCAATTTCAGAACATATGCAAATCACGTTTCTTGGCGAACGGACAAATATGATACTGATATGGAAATTACCAAGTTAACAATGAAGCTATTTAGCATTATTGCAAGACTATTCCTACAGAGTAGCCGCAACACACAGCAAGTAAGCTCAAAATTCAGTTAGAAGAAGTAATGATTAGATTAGTCACAATGTAAAATAGCAAATACTACGCAAAAAGCTTCTGACGGAACAGTAAAGGGAGGTTGGCCACAAAAAATGAGCTCAGCACCTAACAATCTTCATATTACACTTCGTCTTGGTGTCTCTTTTACTTAAATTTACCAAAATAATATCCAAATACATACTTAATTTACTAGGCAAAAAATGTACAATATACAGAAGCGAGGATTAAAAATTGATAAATCTAAAACAGATATGAAAAGAAATTGAAGATTATCGAAACTGCGAACACTTTTTTGATCTTGTCAATCTCAAGTACCACTTTAGAAGCCACCAAAACAAGTTTTACATTAAGCAAGCGATTTTTCGTCCCGTTTGTTGAATTACCAGCGCCCCCTGGACATTTTTCGGGCCAACGAGTGTCCGGACAGAAACAGGTTGGGGGGAGGGAGTAGAAAAGCGGGACCAGCGTTGGTAGAGGGCAACTTACCGCTCCGGGATAGGAAACGGGGTTATGAGTTAGACCAAGATTGAGACCTGCTGACTTGCTGTGCATTGCAGTAGTAGCGGATACTATCTGTGCACTCGACATGCTCGACATCGTCTGGAGGGCCTTTTCCTTGGCCACGTGGTCCTGACAAATTAAAGTCTCCATCACCATTTGTTATGTATTTGTTAGCCTACCCACAGCAACCGACTAACCGATCTTAGTTATGGGGCAATTGTTTATTTATACGGGACTAGTTAATAAGTAGAGCTCAGGGCGTTTGTTAGTCGACAAGTACGTAGAAATAAAAAACATCTAAAGGATAGCAATAAAATGAGTCCGCAATACAATACAAACAGGGAACATTTTTGGAAAGATCGTTTAAAAATTAAATAATTATTTTTTTTATATGGAACCACAAAAAAATAACAAAAAAAAATCTATGAAATTGTAAAATAAAAGTAAATTGCAATTGAAAAAGTGTCTGGGTTTTGTTTTGAGATCAATATTAGAAGTGTGTTCCAACGTATACAGGGTGTTTTAAATGAAATAAAAAAAATTATATACGTCATCGATCACTAAAGGGGTAATTGCGAAAATATGTAAACATAAAGTAGGCGGATGTCATAACAAGTAAATTGTTATTTATCATATTAATAAATTGACACTTTCTGTCAATAAGCTGGTAATTTAATAAAAACATTCAGAATAATTTGCTATTAATTAATGAAAAATGTTTAATAATTTATGACTATGAGACATGTATTAGGTAAAGTTATTTATCTGAAATCAAATTTAATACAAACGAAAAATAAGAAAAGCAAAATTAAATTTAAAGAATATTCTCAAAATAGTTTCCATTTTGCTACAAGCATAACCTAATACGTCTGTTGAAGTTAAAACGCACTCGCACAAACAGTTCTTCGTTATTGCGAAGATCATCTGCTGCCTGAAATATTCTTAAGCGTAGTTCTTCTAAGGCGGCAACAGGGGTGGCATAAACAATACTTTTATGTATCCCCACAAAAAGAAATCCATAGGCGTTAGGTCAGGTGAAAGTGCAGGCCAACAAACAGGGGCATCACGACCATGACCAATCTAGCGATTCGGGTAATTTAAATTTAACCACTCTCTAACGGCAAGTGTACTATGTGCAGGCGCCCCATCGTGCATATACCACATCACCTGACGTGTAGCGAGGGGTACATCCTCAAGTGATGTTGGAAGATTTTCATTCAAAAATCTAAGATACTCGGCCGCTCCAAGCCTGTGTGGAAGAATAAAAGGACCTTCTAGAGTATTTCCTACAATTCCCATCCAAACGTTTAAACTGAAATTATGTTGACATTTTGAAACAAATATTTCATGAGTATTTTCTTCCGACCATGAATGAACATTATAAAAGTTTACTGCACCTACTCTACGAAAATTCTCTTCATCGGTGAAAAGTATATTCATTAAGAAATTTACCTACGACCACTACTGTAAATACTTAAAAACACACCGTCTGCGATCAATGTAAGATTCCTATTACGTACGGTAAAAAAATCGCACAGTTTTCCTAGCAACCGCCTAGCAACGGTTAATACAATACTGTTTGTATTGACCGTTGCTAGGCGGTTGGTAGGAAAACTGTGCGATTTTTTTATCAAGCTGTGCGATTTTTTTACCGTACGTAAAATAGGAATCTTACATTGACAGCAGACGGTGTGTTTTTAAGTATTTACAGTAGTGGTCGTAGGTAAAGTATAGTACGTAATACGTGGTGTAATGCAATTACGCACTCAGGCGTCGTGCGTAACTTTTCCATTCGTGCGTAAAATGCTTTTTACAACACTTATTACGTAATATACTATTAAGTTGTGCCTGGAAATATTAATGTACCATTGACAAAAATTCCGGCGGTTAGGTAAATCGGGGTCATTCAATACTTGCACGGATTGATGGTGAAAAAGGTATAAAAGATTTTCATTAGCTACATTCCACACAAGACTGTGAGAAACTTGCTATTGTCTGGACACCTGTTTTGTGCTTGTACCAGTCTTGTTCTAGATGTTCCAGTATAGCTTCCTCAGTTTCAACAGTTCGGACATTACGCCTTCTTCCGACACCCTCATGATTGGGCTGATTTGTACCAGTTTCGCGATGCCTTCTTTCCACCGAGGCCAATGCCTGTCTCTGAGGAATCGGTCGGTTTGTTGGTATAATCTTACTGTTACTATTTTTTCTGGATTCGAAAAACAGTTGGAGCATGTCGATATATTCGTCATTGGTATAAATATTATTTGCCATTATTATTCTGATAATAAATTAATCAATTGGTACTAATTATTGGTTGACAGAAAGTGTCAATTTATTAATATGATAAATAGCAATTTATTTGTTATGACATCCGCCTACTTTATTTTTACAAATTTTCGCAATTACCCCTTTAGTGAACGTTGATACATCTATTTTTTTTACTAGAAAACTATCGGTTTCATCGAAAAGTTACAAGAGGTAAAAAAGTTGCGCAATAAATCAGTCTTCCCAATAAATGTTTTTAAATAAATAATTTGATTCATATAAAAAATTTCTAATAACATATTGCAATGGGGTAGACTGTTTCACTGCTTTATAAAATATGCCAATGATCGAACAAATATTGAAAAGTTGTCTTTTTATTAGCAAGATGCTCATACCAAGTTTCGTGTCTCTAGCATTCCCCATGTTAAAGAAAAAAATTAAAATGTGAATTTCAACCCCCTCCTTTAAGAGGGTATATCGCCTCAGGGGTGCAACTTTCATATAAGGTATTTTTACTTCAATCCTCTTATTTTTGGCTCTACATTCACTGGTACCATTTGTGCTACTTAATTTAAAAACACCCTGTATACTTTGCAATGAAATTAATGCGCCACTAAAAATTGGAACCAATTTTAAAGTTGGTTTTCTCTTGGACAGCTGGTCTGATTTTATTGATCTGTTCAAAGCCACTTTGAAAAAAATATCAATTTTTTTGTCTATATCTTCGACAATTCCACATTTTTTCTATTCAGGTTGCTGTTAACAAGTATGTTCCAGGCAACATATTTCTTTATAACACGACTCGTATAATTATGAGTTACCAATGACCAAAGACGCGTACTAAATTGTTGCTGATATCTCAACCTGGTTAGAAGATATAACGAGCGTTCAAATAAAAACGTGGTCGAAGTTGGCTCTGACACATTGGACGTAGGGAGTAGCTTATAGCGACCAACTTAACCTCATTTCTCAACGAGCTGTATAGCAGCTGTCAGTTTCAATAACGTTAATGACTATATAACTTTATTTTAAAGAATAATCGTGATAACAATAACAAACAATTAAAGGAGCTGCGGAAAGTGTCCCCCTCCTTGTTATAACAATAAATTAAAGCAGCTGCTGAAAGTGTCCCCCTCCTTGTTCCAAGCACTTTTCACACCTGTTCCTCAAAGAATTAAAGACATTTTCTAAGATGCTCGGGGTATTGTTAATTTCACGAATCTTGTCTATAAGTCGAGCCTGCAGATGGTTTAAATCAGGAATAGGCAGTTCAAAAATAGTGTTTTTAAGGTAAGGCCACAAAAAGAAATCACACGGCGTAATATCACATGACCTCGGTGGAAATTCATGTTCAGCATTGAGACTTATTAGTCGATTTTGGAAAACTTCCCTCAACATATTCATCGTCTCGCCTGCCGTATGTGCCCTTGCGCCATCTTGTTGAAAGTAAAAGTTTGTAATTTCGTTTTCTTCCAGCTGGTTAACAAAAGGAGCGATAATTTCTTCTCTATACCTTTGCGCAGTAAGAGTACCATTAAAAAAAATAGGTCCATAAATCCTCCTTCGATTGAGAGCACACCAAACTCCAATTTTTTGAGCGTGTAGAGGGCCCTCGACAAAAAAGTTATCTGGTTTTTCAGAAGACCACATTCTCATATTCTGTGAGTTTACGTAACCACTTAAATGAAACCAGGCTTCATCAGAAAAAAAGGTGATATTATGAAGTTCACCGTAGTTGTTTAAAAACCATTCACAAAATACAGCCCGTCGCGGAAAATCAACTTCATGAAGTTCTTGCTGACAAGTTAAACGATAGGAGAACAAACGCAAATCTTTTTTTAACACTGTGTGGCAGGTACCGACTGATACTCCCACCATTTGTGATAAAACACGTACAGAAGTTCTTGGCGCATTTTCCATTATTTGTTGGACATTTTCTTTTAATTCTTCAGTCCGCTTTTTAGGTCGGCCGCTTCCTTCTTTTCTTGTTACACTGCCCGTTTCACGAAAAACATTAACACAACGCTGAACTGCACTTTGAAAAATTTTGTACTCAACAACGCCGGGAAATTGATTTTGAAATTCTATGAAACATTCCTCAATAGAATACTTCCATATTCCATCAATCTTGCGTCCATTTCTAAAGTAGGACTCTATGATAAACACTTTTTGTTCTTGAGAAAACACCATTTTAAACGCTTTTTAAAACGAAAATATTCAAATTGATAGCGGCGATATAGCGCTTTGACAGATGACGTTTAAGTTCATTTGCTATACGCTACGCCCTACGTCCAAATTTTCAGAACCAACTTGACCACGTTTTTATTTGAACGCTCGTTATAATTCGAACCTTTTATGTTAATTATTCTAAGGAACACCCTGTAGAAACATTGCAGTCAAATTAATCTGAAAATCTGAATAAAATGAGCTAATTTTGGTTTTTGAAGGATGAATTATCGTTTTTATTGCATTATTTTCGGGTTGCCTATCTCGCCACATATCAAGACCTTTCACTAAAATTAAATTTAAGAAGACTTTCCTCGCAAAAAACCTTGCGGTTCGGCAAAGAAAAAAACAGATCCTATTATTTTTTCTCCGTTCCAGCGACAGTAATTACAAACGAAGGTAACCGATACGCGATTGACGTTTACCATTATTATTATTTATTTAACAGTCAACAATTATCCATGAGTCACTGGACGTAGCTTTAACTTTTAGTTTAGATAATATCATTCCGCATAAACAAAGAGAGAAACTAATTTTCCGCTCTGATTACTGTCAGGTATAATTTGTTATGTGCGTACATGTATAACATATATTGTAAATTAACACTACAATAAAACCATGAAACTACAAACGAAACTGTTACTTGAGCCGTAATTAAATCTTAAGGTGTACTAATTAAGCAATTATTTTAGATTGTTAAAATCCTAGTTGGGGAGTTATTACCGAGGTCTTAAATTTTCGCATCAGCGAAATACGAAAGATGTTTATACACTATACTTATTTTCCCATTACGTAGCTCGTTTTTAATACGTGATTATATCGCTAACGATTGGGGATTAATAAAAAAACTTACAACTTTCAGTTTTGCTTGGATTTCTCGTAATTTTCGCCTCGCCAAGACCTGTATGTGTGAGCTGACTTGTTTCCTTGTCCTTGTTTTTCCCGTCCTCAACTTGATGTACCTCGCTATAAGCTCATTTCGGCCTGGAATAAAAAAACATTGAAAGTATCTTCAAACGGTAATGAGCGAAGTTGTTCTTACGATTCTTATAACAGTATATTCGAAAATCCCTAGCTAAAAACCAGATTTACTGAGACATACTATTAATGTGAAAGTTAAAAGTTTAAATATATCGGAGAAGTATTTCTATAAAAGAGCAGTATTCAACCAGTATTATGATTTTCAAAAAGAAACATATATCTGATTCACAGCCACACAGAAAAAAAAAAGTTGGGTATATTTTTTATGCGACATATATTTTTCGTAGTAATTTGGCCTCCTGAACACGAATCTGGGGTCAGAATTGGCCCATCACGTCACAATTTTTTCCTAACCTCAAAAAACTTGTGAAAAATAGTGAAAATTGATGAAAATTTACTGGGAAAATTTGGAAAAAAATTTATTTCCACATCAAATAGTACATTTTTATGTAAAAGACTCTGCTGAATTCAAATCCACTGTCAGAATTGAGCTAGAACGTGTGGTTTTTTTTCTAACCTCAAAAAACCGAGCAGGAATCGCTATTTTCAAATTCTGAGCGGATTTTGACCAGATTTTGTATAAAGGGGTTTTTTGGGTCGCTGATTACGAATATGAATTCACATTGTAAAAATTCAAGATGGCTGATCCAATATGGCGGGTGTACTTTTTTGAAATCCACCGATTTCAGTAAAATTTGGCATCATAAGGATTGCTGGTTGATCTCACCTTCATTAATCACACATCTGGAGCCAGATTTTCATAAATCAAGGTAAAATTTGTAGGCAGAGTCATAATTTTAGGCCGAGTAGGCGGCATTTTTTCGGCAAAGTCACATTTTTAGATTGAAGGCATAAGCAGATGCAGTGATGTGCTGTGTGGCAGTAATGTGTCCTTTTCCTTGAACTTTAAAATTATTAAGAAATAAAAGCATCTAAATGCCATAGGAAAACTGCATAGTAGTTAAAAAAATCTGATTGGAAAACCATAAGCCCATGCACGACTAAATAAATGAAAGAATAAAGTAGAAACTTTTTTGTCTTGTCCCATGGAAACAAGCACATCACACTACACATCATTACATGTGTAGAGTCCTTAAGTCATTTTTTTAAGCGAAGTCACATTTTTAGACGGAGTGGAATCTTTTACCTTGATTTATGAAAATCTGGCTCCAGATGTGTGATTAATGAAGGTGAGATCAACCAGCAATCCTTATGATGCCAAATTTTACTGAAATCGGTGGATTTCAAAAAAGTACACCCGCCATATTGGATCAGCCATCTTGAATTTTTACAATGTGAATTCATATTCGTAATCAGCGACCCAAAAAACCCCTTTATACAAAATCTGGTCAAAATCCGCTCAGAATTTGAAAATAGCGATTCCTGCTCGGTTTTTTGAGGTTAGAAAAAAAAACACACGTTCTAGCTCAATTCTGACAGTGGATTTGAATTCAGCAGAGTCTTTTACATAAAAATGTACTATTTGATGTGGAAATAAATTTTTTTCCAAATTTTCCCAGTAAATTTTCATCAATTTTCACTATTTTTCACAAGTTTTTTGAGGTTAGGAAAAAATTGTGAAGTGATGGGCCAATTCTGACCCCAGATTCGTGTTTAGGAGGCCAAATTACTACGAAAAATATATGTCGCATAAAGTATACCCAACTTTTTTTTTCTGTGTGGCTGTGTATCAACGCTCGTATTTTTAAATGTGAAGTTTCTTGTTAAAAATACAAAAATTTGACTAGAGTAATTATTTTCTAAATGTCCTGTTTAACAAAATATACGAAATATTTAAAAAAGTCCGTCAGTCTTTACTTTACAAAGGGGGTTGATCCTTGTCTCCCCCGATATTTACGGCACTGATAACTGAAGTGGTTTTGTTAGTAGGGACTACAGACTACAGAGTGTATCATATTTTGTCCAAAAAATTGTCCGGTATTTCCATGTAGATTTAAAAAATCTTCCAATTTGCGAAAATATAAGCGTTATTAGTGCTGGCAACTGAAATCGGTTTTTTGGATAGTCGGTTAACCGGTTTCGGATAATTCGGATTTTTATGAAATCCGAAAACCGGTTATTCGGTTATTCGATTCTTCAAATATCCGAAAACCGGTTATTCGGTTATTATTATTCGATGATCTACTTCCTTGCACCGATTTTCAGATATCTGGTCTTGGCGATTCAAGTAACGGGTTATTCGAATAACCGGTTTTATAGTCCAATTAACTAAGCCTTTAAATCGAAATTTTGTCAACTTGGCTGAATTTTTGATATGAGTTAGTTTAAGGTATATTATAACAATAAGTGAGACTAATTTTTTGTTCAACCCCCGGCCAAGGGTGGAAAAAGATAAAACAAAGGGCTTTTTCAAGATAACTCAAAAAGGGTAAGAGCTAGAAAAAAAAGTTTTTCATGAAAGTTGTAAAGCAGACAATTCTACATAAAAATGGTCTCTTAGCTTTTTCTTGTACTATTAAAATTAACAGAGTTAGGGAGGCTAGAAGTTAAGGGAAGATTTCAGAAATTTAATTTTGTTAAATCATTAAAATTAACGATTAAAAATTTGATTTTTTGTTACAACTTTCTTATTAAAAATTAAAAAATATATCTATTTCTCTGAAAAGAAAAGTTACATATTTTAGAGCAGATTGAAAAAAAAAATTACAAAATTCAATCATTTTTCTGTTTGTTATGATTTTTTTAAAATTTCTGAAATCTTCCCTTAACTTCTAGCCTCCCTAACTCTGTTAATTGTAATAGTACAAGAAAAAGTTAAGAGGCCATTTTTATGTAGAATTGTCTGCTTTACAACTTTCATGAAAAACTTCTTTTTCTAGCTCTTACCCTTTTTAAGTTATCTTGAAAAACCCCTTTGTTTTATCTTTTTCCACCCTTGGCCGGGGGTTGAACAAAAAATTACTCTCACTTATTGTTATAATATACCTTAAACTAACTCATATCAAAAATTCAGCCAAGTTGACAAAATTTCGATTTAAAGGCTTAGTTAATTGGACTATTAGCAACTATTCGACTAACCGGTTTTATCTGAAATCGGTTTTTACGGAACCCGGTTAACCGGTTTCACTTTTTTCCGGTTTTTGCCAGCACTAAGCGTTATATCAGTTTTTTTCAATTACCACCATTTCATATATTTTTTATCAATATCTCCCACGAATATTTAACAAAATATCATAAAATTTGCGCCACATTTTTATTTATAATTTTAGAAAAAAAAATTTTCGCCTAACTTTTGCTTGTCTCTACCATTAGAGCATATATAGATGAAGCACCGTGTGTTAAAAAGTGTAGACACTGTAGAGCGGAGATACTTGCGTTAGCCAATCACGTGCCTGCGCAAGAGATAGTACTCAAACTATCGCTTTCTCTCTGTGTCACTCTCTAAGGGGTAATCTACATATACAGAGATTATTTGTTTAGGGGAAAATGACAATTTTATTTAGCTAAAATGTAGAATTTTTACATAAAGTTTAATACTATTAATTAATAACACTATAGAGCAGGGGTCGGCAAGTAATTTTGGGTGGGGTCCGGATACCTTTGAAAATTTTTAACGAGGTCCAAAAAAAAATTCATATTATTTTTTTTATTTTAATTTGGACTCAAATTTAATCTGCTTACTAACCATTAAGAACTCACACTCTCACACAATTGTAAAATACTAGAAAAAATGATAACATTGGCACTTAAACGTAAAAAACATTTTTTAAATAATTTATTTGAGTAATTTATACTTTCAAAAAATTTTTGGCGGTCCAGTATTTTATTTTCGCGGTCCGGATCTGGACCGCGGTCCGCCAGTTGCCGACCCTTGCTATAGAGAATCAGGAAATATTATTTCATTGGTCAAATTATTTGGAGCTCTACAATGGGAGTTAATAAAAAATAAAAGCACAAAGTATTAAAAAAATCAAAAGCTGCCATTTCTCGTTTTTTTTTTTATGTATTGACTTTATTTCGACACTAAAATTTAAATTTAGTCCGAAATAAATGAAAGCTAGAATTTGTCCAACAATCCATATATTTTTTGGAAATTGTAAGCACTATTTAGGCCGATTAAAATTGCGCCATTTTCTTTTAAATTAAAAATTGAAATGTAGATTTGGGTTGCTCTAATATTATTAGATCCTTTTTTTTCTAAAATCATACACAAAATTTTCCTCCCATTTGGCGTCAACTTTTAAGCAGTCTATACTTGTATGTAGGGTGAACCAAAAGTGATTATCTTAGAAACTATTACAGATACTAAAAACCTTATAATCCTGTTCATTTGAATTTTATTAAAAAAGTATAAAACCCTCTTTTTAAAGTTAATTATAATTTCCGTTTTGTAATCTGAAAAACTTCTCGAACCATATTCACGCATTTTTTGTTTTTTTTTTTTCATTGATAGTTTCTTTTATTTTAACCAACATATAGAAAATAATTAACATTGTTCGTATCGATGCAATATTACAATTGATTTAATATCAAACAAATTAAATAATTAAAGAAAAGTTTGAGAATTTTTTCAAACCAAATTTTGTGAAGCTATCAAACAGGCGTTTTTAGAACATCTACAAAAAGTGAACTCCCTAAAAAAATTAATTTAAAACTATATTTCCGGAATAAGATTCATATTAACTTTTTCCTTAGTTTTACCTGAGAAATATCCCCATAAAATGTGTGCACTTACTCCTGAGACACCCTTTTTCAATAAGGTTTCGAATTTTATGCTAAATTTATGACGTTCAAATGTCGAGGACGTAAGTAGCCTGAGCGATGACAGCTCCCTTCCGTAGAGCACCTGTGCCGCAGAACTAGTTTCTAGAAGAAGCTAATCGCTTTGAAATAAGGCAGAATCGGCCAGGTAAGGCAAATAAAAAGACCGAGACGGTTTAATTTATCCTTCCTGTAAGCAAGAGCAACCGGTTTGGGACGAACACCTAAATTACAGCCGAAAGATCAAGATCTGCCGATATAATCCACCGCCATTAAGTCGC